ATATATATAGCCTTTTAATACCACACACTTAGTAGATTCAGTCTATAAAGTCTTGACTAATAGCACCCGAGATCACATTATGAAGGTCAGTAAGGTGACGTATTGTTTAGATATCATTGTGGTCGGTGGTATGTGGTAGAGCGAGTGTCTCAGGTGTGCGGGGACGGCGAGGAGCGGTGGGCGTACGACCGTCCAGCGCTGGGGTTCACGCGGCACTGTCGCCTAACTCTCTGTTGCCTTTCGCCGCCGCCGCCAGCTGGCATATGGCGAATTTTTGAGCGCCGCTTTTACATTATTCCTTCCTATGTCCTGATATCCTTTCTAATATTTATGTTTCTATATATTATCTGAAGATGGGCAATGGCAAGACGCGATACAATAATTATCATCTTAATTAGCAATAAATAATACATCAGGCTACACTACGTCGTTCCAATACATAATTGGAGTATTTTTTTTGTATTTGTCACTCCACCACCAATGTTGTAACTACCTGTCATCTTCCTCTGTAGTAACATTTCTAACGGAGACAACGGTCACCAGGAGGTTTGAAACGCCAATTTCCAAGAAATAATCACTTTAATTTTTTAAATTTTGCCCCGAGGGGCGAGTTTATTGGGCAGCTTTACACCAATACAATTGTATTTATGGTGATACAATTTCACTTTAGTATGTACACAGATGTAATTTCTCAGTGCGTTAATTATTCTCTGCCAGCGTTTATTCCTCAACTAACTCCATTATTTCCCTACGCCTCGCAAGCTTTTGTAGATTAGAACAGACGCAGCAAGAGTCATAATCTTCTTTATATACGTTCATTTTGAAGATGTATTATTATTTGAAGATGTATCCCTTTTGAAGATGCATTATTATACGAAAGTATTCAAGGAAATTCCTGTTTCAATTCTTCCTCCGTGGTCTGACACTGTCATACATGTATTGGTAACTGTCATACATGTATTGGTAACTGTCATACATGTATTGGTAATTACCTTCATCAATTCCTAAGGGACAAAGGTCATGGGAGGATTGAGGACCACTGACGCACAGGAAAGAAACACCCCATAACCTTGGCAGTCTGTTTCTTTGTTTTAAAATTTTACATCGATTTAATGTCATTTCCAAGTATCTCATACGTTTTCACAATGCCTCTTAATTCTTCGTTTCTCCTCCACTGAACGATAGTTTTGGATTTCCAGGATTCTGACAGTCAACTCAAACATTGAGTTGATTGTCAGAATCCTGATAAACAACTCAAACAATCCTGTTTGAGTTGATAATGTCAACTCAAACTTTTAATTAATCCCATACGCAGGTGTGTCTGTATGTGTGTGTAATTACCTAAGTGTAGTTACGGTATGAGAGCTACGCTCGTGGTGTCCCGTCTTCCCAGTACTCTTTGTCGTATAACTCTTTGAAACTACTGACTGTCGTGGAGGTTTTGGCCTCCACCACCTTCTCACTTAACTTGTTCCGACTGTCTACCATTCTAGAAAGTGAATTTGCTAATATTTTTCCAGCAGCTTTGTTTAATTTTATTAAATTTATGACATCTTGCTCTAGAAGTTCCCAAGGCCTGGCGCACGGCTGTGGTGGTGCTGGAGCAGATTACGACAGTAATCCCACGCACCGACAACTGGATGTGTGAGATGTGGAGTGAAATCTACATTTATTTAATATTATTTTTACTTTTTTTTTTACTTCTTCAAGAATAGTACAAAGAGTCTGTTGTCCCATTAATTCAATAAATTCCTCACATATATTTGCAGATAAATATGACGGATTTCCTTATCCAGGATATCCATACCTTTTGAGATGGTCTTCCAAGAAAGGATCAAATTCACTCAGCAGCTCTAGTATACCTAAATAGTTGACATTTTTTGCTGACTCAATAACCTGATTTTTTCCACGAAATGACAAACCTATAGAGGCAAGAAAGCGATTACAGAAACCACACGTGTCAACACTTTATGCCAATGTTCTAAACGATGTTCTCTGAGCGATGTTGCTCAAGCAATAAAAAATCTACACTACAGCTTCCATATCAAATCAAATCAAAATCAAATGTTTATTCAGGTAAAGTACATACATACAAAGTGAGATACAAGCATTGATGGATTTATAGATAGAGCTAGCACATACAAAGCCTAAAGCCACTATTACGCAAAGCGTTTCGCGCAGATATGCCTTATCAAATATGCTGGCATGAACTTTCGATGTTCTTCTCCATTTTCATGTTTGCTTCCAGTCATTGAACAAAATGTAGCAAAGAGAAATTCCTTCTTGGATAATAGGCGACATTGAAAGCAGTACAAACGACCTTGGGATGGTGATTGGAGTAGCCATTCACGTTTTACATACTCGTCATTCCGGAGTTCACGTTTGAACACATTGTTTGATAAATACCTTACCTTTATATTCTCTACGCCAGCTGTTGTATACGTTCTACGTGAATTTTAAAGGTTACTATCATGATTTTAACATGATGAGGGCCCACTACGAATTCAGTAATCTATTGTGTAATCTATTAATGTCCCATTGCCTCGGATCTGTCTCTTGGATTGCAAACAACTTTACTGTTATTGCTTTGGGTATTTCCACTTGTAAACTGTCAACCACCAACAAGCAATGATGGTATGTCTGCTGAAACTGAGTGATTGGTAGCAGGAATGGCTGTAGATGTGGATGCTCCATTTGAAGGAACAGTACTAGTGGCTGACACTGCAGGAGTAGATGCTGATGTGGATGCTATATCTGAAGGAATGGTATGAGTGGCTGTTGTTGCACCTGTGTTGAGCCACGATGTTATTTTTGGAAGTTTCCTATTTTTTCCTTCTCCTCTACAGCTCTCTTTCTCTTCTGTGCTCCACTCAAAACATTACGTTTCATTTCTGTTGAAAGGGTATTCACCTGGAAATATATATCTTAAATATTTAGTATTTAGTCCCACACCAGGATGTAGGGTTATATTATTTAAGTGTGCTTGAAACAAGACTTAAATAATTAAACATTTTGCTTCCATACTGAACATGTCCTATGTTCGTGGGGCCCCCGGGCAAGTACCCATCGGGCCCAAGCGGTAAGACGGCTCTGCCTAAAAAAGGCTTTCGAGTCTCACAAAAGAAGTTGTTTCGGAAACTGGAACATATTGTAAAAGTGACAGGGATTCTTTTAACATGGATTAAAAATTTTCTGACAGAAAAACGAGGGCAGTAATTAGAGGCAATGTATCAGACTCGAGACCTGTAATGCTCATTATCAACATAAACGCTCTACCAGAAGGAATATAGAATTATATGAACATGTTTACTGATGACACCAAGCTACTAGGAAAGGTAAGAAACTTGGACGATTATCATGCCCTTCAAGAAGACATGGACCAAATAAGTGTATGGAGCAATACTTGGCAAGTGGAATGTAATGTGAATAAATGTCACGTCATGGAATGTGGAAAAGAAGAAAATAGGTCACATACACAACCTACAAATTATGTGAAATGCTTAAAAGAAATCTGATAAGTTGTATATAAGGGTGGTTCTAGATAGAAAACTGACACATGAGGACCACATTAAGAACATTGTACAAGGAACATATGTTACGCTTTCCAATTTTAAAATTGCTATTAAATACGAGGATGGTGAAATATTAATCTTTGTGAGACCAAAATTAGAATATGCAGCAGTTGTATGGTGCACATATCTAAAGAAGCACATTAACAAACTGGATAAGGCAAAAAGACTTGCAACAAAATGGCTTCAGGAACACAAAGACAAGAGCTATGAGGAGAGGTTAAAGGTGTTAAATATAACAAAGCTAGAAGATAGTAGAAAAGGAGGTGATATGATCAGTACATACAAAATATTAATGGAAATCGACAAAAGTGATAAAAGAAAAATTCTTGAAACTTGAAGAACAAAAGGATTTAAACTAAGTAAACAAAGCTGCCGATAAATCATTAGAAAGTTCACTTTTGCGGAATGGTAAACGGTTGGGACAAATTAAGTGAGGTGGTGGATGCCAAAACCGCTAGAAGTTTCAAAGCGTTATATGGCACTTTAATAAGAGTATTAGGAAGATGGGACACCACGAGCGAAGCTCTCTACACTTGGGTAATTACCTATGAGTTCAAACTGTTTTGCACCTCCTTGTAGAATGTCCTGATTTTCGGGATGATTGTAGGTCTTACTTTCTTAATATCCCTTTGGGCCACTTGACCCTCGATGTAATTCTTGGTGAATCTGATATCTTTGATGTCACTTGTCTACCTGTTGACTACTTGTTATTGATTTTCAGGATAAGCGTCCCAGCAGCCCGGTCTCTGACCAGGTCTCATCAACCAGGCCGTTTGATGCAGCACCCTGAGTGATCATTTAAAGGTGCTTATCAAACACTTTGCCTTATATCGTTTTTGTTCTTGTATTGGCATCTTGAATGATCATTGGCACCTTCTGGTGCTACATTGTCTTCCCAGCTTGATGCCTACTTTTGATAATTACTTAACTGAATTTCAATCTCTTGCCTGCTCAACAATCAGCAAGGAAGACAGGAATACTGTATTGTGAGGAGCTTAGGTAAGTGGGATCTTGTGTTCGTCAGGTGTTGACACCTGGTGGTAGTCGGGTATAGTGTCCAGGTAGGGCAAACTGCAGTTGACAAGAGCACCTACTGCAAATCTTTGGGATATTATTTAGCTACTACTAATTAGGATACAAACTAGGATACTGGAATACTAACTAATTGGATTAACTAATTAGGAGGAGCTTCGAGTTTATAGAATGTGCAGTCGTCCCAACTTGGCTGAGTATTCTCTAGTGTGTCTCTTTACCATCCATATGACCCAAAAGGGACAATTTGAAAAGATCTCTACTGAATAGGTTTATTGACCTGCCTGACAAAGAGTAGACCTTTCCTGGGACCTGGATGTTCGTGTTCTTAGTGAGCAACAGAGATGTATTCATTCTGCACAATGTACATCACAAATGGTATAAAAACAATGTAAGTACAAAAATTATTTTATTATCACGTATGACCATGATGGACATAATGCTTAAAAGAATACACCAAAATGTGGGCAGTATTGACAATGTTCGGTTGACAAATGCTCGGCAAGACATTCTTTTAAGGCAATGAACATTTTGCCTTCAAATAATATTGCAACATGGTATTAAAGTTAGTGCCGATAACAAGTAGCAACCAGATAAAGGCAAGAAGCCTTAAATGCTACTTTGAGCTCTTAATCAAGCATGGTGGATCTAGTTTTATGATTGGCTAGCTGGTTTTACAATACTTCAAGTGTTGTCTAGGAACTCAGCCTATTGTCATCCTTCCTGTATTATTCTGTGCCTTATTAGTAGGAGCTCTAAGCTGGGAGACTCTGTTACTAGCATACACATATAATGTGGCAAGATCAGCATATGTGAACCTTTCTTATAGGTAAAAATAATAAATTTCTACAAAAAAGTCCAAACCAAACACTTTATGGTTTGAAAGTGTGCAGACCCACTCAATGCTTGACAAGTTTGAATATTAACCTTTGATCTTGCCACAATTATGAAAAACAACGGCACAGTTTTCATGCAAAAACACACGTTTGCTCACTGGAGCGGAAAACACATTAAGAAATGGATCAGTTGTGACCCACAAGGAAAACACTTGACTGCAATATCTTGGTAAAAACGTACAAAATTGCTCATTCTCTTATACACACTTTAGTTGCCAATAAAGCTTGGCTAAAGACGCAACCAGAAATTTATCATTAAGGAATTTTTATCAGGAATTTTTCATTTATATAAAACTTTAATGAACTGAAATCACAAACTTAACTATACAGTATTTTATGAAAAGATAAAACATCACATCATTATTTTTTTCTGCAATTGCACCCACAGAACATCATTTTATAAATAACCTTATGGAAAAGCCATTGCTAGGTCTAGTAAATTACAAATTATGATACATAATTAGCTTGAATAGTAGGCACAGAAATTTTACATTCACAACTTGCTACAAAATTAAAGTTGCGCCTTGCCATCCAAATTCTTTTAAAAAGTGTTATATTCAACACTGTACTCAATACCTTATTAAAATGCTGTACAGGTAATATCTACACTTAACTGTTAGTCCCCGGGCCTGACCATCACCTTACTTGGACTGTTCAGGGCAGGGGAGAATAGGGAGATCTTTCTAAAACTTCAGACTAAAATGCGACACTATCAGCAAGTACAAAACTTCTGTGAAAGCCTCATGGAAGATCTTCTGTTTTAATTTTTAGAAATACATCTTGAGTAGGGATAACAAGCCTGTACTTGAAGATAGTTTCACAGTCTTCTGAAGACCTGGGCCACCATTTCTCTCAGTAAGAGTAGTGATGGCATCCACAAGTAGTGGTAATGAAGGTTACAATGATACTAAGCTCATCCAAAATGAATTAGGACACTGCCACATATCTTTTAATACTGACACATCCTACCCAGTCTAGGTATAGGCTAGTACCATATCACAAACACTTCAGTGAAGATCATGTCCAGGAGCACATATCCTCTGTGACAAATCCAGTCATTAACTATTGAATATCTTCCTTAAAATACACACAGTTACCCAAAAAAATAAATAAAAAGTGATAACACAATCAGCCAAAAATGATGTGTGGATGATCTACTATAGAGATATGGTAATTAAAAAAAACAATTGTAGACTGCTTCACCCAACTTCTACATATACAAAGAAATAAGAAAAACATACATGATTAAACACTTCTAGCAATACAAGTTAAAACATTTGAGGAGTTCCCTAAAGTTCTTTGAGCAGAAACTTGGCCTTTCTTCCTACATTGTTGTAGGCAAGATAAGCCAAGGGCAGTCCTGATTGTTCTCAGGATGGAGATAATCTCAGCCCTGGCCATTCTGAAGAGCTCCATCATAATAATAATCATAGTGACAACACAATGACAAGGGACAAGAACATCACCTATTCTTTTTTAAAATGGATAACACTCTTGAGCTTGTAGGTCACGTGTGCTACAATTACAGACACAAACAGCAGCAATGATAGTACTAGCAGAGACTATGAAAAATCATCTGAGGTAGTCCGTGTATATCAAAGATAAATTCAATGTCCAAGTCACTTGCCTAAGTAATCTTAGGGTAAGACTTCCTCAAAAACTTTTCATCCTTTTGTTTTCTTGATATTTATCTATTAATAATTTAAATTAAAAAAAAAAGTCTGCTTACTGTAAACCACAGAAGCACCTATGCACTGCATTACACAATGTCAGCACTCAAGAGTCAATACAGAACTGATAACCAGCACAGCATTTCATGTCTCTTGCTCTTTTCAACTGCTCTTAACACCAACCCAAATTTTGGTCTTTCCATTAAATTTAAAAGTTCATTTTTCTTGTTGTTGTTAGGTTTGACATCACTGAAAGAAAGATGCTCATCTTCCTTCTGGGAAATGTGAGCATCTTCATCATTGATTATCCGTGCACAGCATTTCCAGCATTTCTGTAAACACTGGCTGAGCAGTCTGCTTTGAGAAAGAGAATCCTCTTCGTATCGTAAGCAGAGATATAACAGACTTTCAGAATCCTGGTCTGTTGCTGCCATAATTACCATTATCATTCAATCTTCTTTCACAGTAAACAATCTTATCATAAGAAAAATTTACAATTATTATTGCAAACTGGCATCCCATTGCACACACACAGTCTCATGCACAGGTTTGCACACCAACTTTCTTAATAAACCAGAAAGGTCAGTAAGTAAGTTTTGAAAAAATAAATAAAAACCCCCATTTTTGTGATCTTAACTTTGACTTGCCATTTGCTACAACTAGCTGAATAATAGGAACCATAACCATTAGTTCCACTTAATGAAAAAATGCACATGCTGATAATGAAATGAGGAAAAACATAAGCACTTGTGTATGCTGCAATTCCTGAGAGTAACAAGGGTTGAGGGTAAACATAGGAATTCTGAAATGCTAATTAAGGTGCTGGAGTAAAGATAATTATGAAGCAAACAGAGACTTAATGACATGAGAAAACACCTGAATATATTATTATTTTTGAACCTATGTTGGCGAATATCACAGCACATTAACCATTTCAGTATACAGTAAAATGAATGTATGAAAAGTGCTTCAATTCTTCTCCAGATTATTAATTGTCATCTCAGAATCCCCTCCCAGGTGCTTTTGGAGACTGTCTAAATGCTTCAAGATCTGGACAAACTAGCAATATGCACCAAAGTGTCAAGAAATGGATACAATGACAACTTGTGACAATATGTAAAGTTTTGGACATTGTGACAACATGAATCAATGTGACAAGACCTGGATATAATGACAACATGCACCAACATCTCAAGATCAAGATACACTGACATGTACCAATGTGTCAAGTCCTTCACATACTGGCTACATGTAACACTGTATCTAGCAAGATCTAAACACACTGACAATATGCACCAATGTTACCACTCTTCAACCCCATCAGAAGTCGTCATGAAAACTATATCTATGAATTAATGTTTTATACAAAATTTAAATATTCTCAAATGAAAATAATTTGTTTTACCAAAAATCATTTCATTCAACATGTCAATGACATAATGACTGGCATATGGGGCTGACAAGAAATTCATAACATGAGGCAGGATCGTTCATTACAGTCGCCGAGCCCTAGGCTTGAGCTACCCACTCACGTGTCTGTCACCTTGCAGTGAAGAGCTGGGATTGAAGAGATCATGTTGTATTGAGCAAGGTTTTCACAATGACTGGGTAAGTGTTGTTTATTACAGACCCCTTCATGGAAAGTCTTCAGTTACTGTACTCAAAAGTCATCGGTGGAAAATGGATACTCAGATCCTTATACCTGAAGGTCAGTTTTTATAGGTAAACAGCCATTTTGAACCTCTTGATGTTTGGCCATATTACCCTTAGTGTAAATGGCAGTGATTTGTCTGACTAAGGAACTGGCAGGGAGCCTCAAGAGCATCTATTTTCATCATCTTTAACACTTGAAGAAATTAATTGTCGATTCCCATTTAAAAAAAAGATCATCAGTTTTTCTGGCCTAAAGCGGTCCTTTTGAAATAATATTTGCATGTGTTTTTGTATCAAGTAATCACCAGTATTTTGGGTACAGCACATTGTTTTCATTAATATTCTGCATTCAATATTTTCTTCACCTCTACTTATAATTCTACTATTGTTATTTGTGTGTTCCCATCCACTATTGAAGACACAATCACTTGCAAGGTAAATTTACTGCTTATCTCAATTGTTACATTATCTGTGTTTTTCTATTTATATTATGATTTATATAGTCTATATTATAGCTACATTTACTCCTTTTCAGTGTTACACGGATGCTTTTACACACAATTGATGAATAAATGAGTCCCAATTTTCAAAATGGGGAAGATGAATGCTAAATCTTTAGAAGCTAATGTTTGGCGTCCTGTCAATCCCATTGGTGTGGGGATGGCGGGAGCTCCGAAGGATGTGCAACTGTTGAGCTGTAAAGAATTAAAACAAAATATAATTCATTAATTTATATGCAGATATCAATTAAATCAATGGAGAGTGATTATATACAGTTCATGGAAAATTCTCCAAAATGCTAATGTATATGATAGTATGGGTGATGAGATTGAATGACTAGGATCAAGGCAACTCGTAATATTCACATTAGAAGTTGTCACATTTGTTATAAGTACAAAAGTTAACTTAACATTAAGTGATGCAGTTATTATGATAAGCAGATAAGTAATTTTAAATACAAAAACATAAGAGGGGAATATTGGAAAACGTGGGTTAAAATATTTAGTGTTTGGAAGGGATTGTAACCCTCACTTCGGGTAAATGGAGTGAAAATCTAAGGTTAGGGTTATATATTTACTATGATTAGCTATGAGAAAGCAAGTTAAAAATAAATGATTACAAAAAACTAAAATTTTAAGGGGAATAATAAAGCTCTTCATAAACAAGAAAAAGGTTGGGTGGAATCACAAAAGGTAATTCAGCCTTTCCATAAGTATATGTGTATGTTGATCGTAGAAGCATTATCAATGAGTAATTTTCTTAGTACAGTATTATTGGAATGACGAGAAGTGACAGGAAGAGAAGACATAGCGAGTGCATGTGTGACGAAGCATAGGTTAAGAGTGCATAGAATATGAAATGTGGTAGGTATCGAGGCTCTATGCAGCTGCTTGTAATGGGGGAGCAAATGTTTGACAAAGTTTGCCATGTCAAATAATGAGGAGCACCATACTGTACACCTAATCTCATAATAATTTGCTTGAGAGTGGTAATACTCACTCCCTGTGATGCTGTGTAGCATTTAAAATGTGGTGAATAGATGAAGACATTTTTTAATACCGATATCTATATTTTCCTTAGTTGGTTTTGTATCTTCTCCAGGCTGATGCCTCCTCAACCAATGAAAGTGGGTGGCAGTGATTGTGATAACAACAACAGGGGCAAAGAGGAGGAGAGGCTAGCAACATAAGAGATGAAAAGATCTTTCCATGGGTAAGAGTACAAGGTATATGAATAGTTTCTAGACATGTAATACTGTATATATAATAATGATACATTTGCAAAGAAAATTTATAATAAAAGGAATTTAAAATTAATAAGAAGTTGTATAGATTTGGAATAAGATAGACATGTTATGGCCATGGAGTATTTCTGAGAAATGCAGCTGACTCTGGATTTTACACAGAGATGAATTCCCCAGTAGTCAATGTACTGTACATCCTAACCTCATTATGATTCTTATGGGAAAACTAAGCGTGTTCCAGCCCTAACAACTTTTAAAAAATACAATAATATATGCACTGCACTGTAATACATAAGATTTTAGTGATACATACACTACAGAATTTTAATGGTATATATATAAATAGCCAGATGACTGAGCATAATTCAAATGAAACTTGACTAAGTACCTGTACTATTTTCTGAACACTATATACTACCATTACTTTTCTAAACCCAAAACTGAATCTGTAATTAAGTTTTTTTTTACCTAATTAAACTAATATACAATATAAGGAGATATGAGTGTATATTTATTCTCAGAATAACACTTGATGGACCTTCAGTGAGCTATACTCAAACCACTACTAAATGAAATTCATAGTTTTCAAAATTAAAACAATTCATACGATTTCCTGAGCAAGGTATCCTTGATTGCTCCCTGAGTCAGAGTTTGGGAACTCCTAAGACACAATACTGCACTCTTACCAGGCTCTTGTTAACCTCTGATTCACTGTGTAATATATGTATTTAATATGTCTTCTGGGGCAGCCCCCTGGTGGCTCCCAACTGCTAGGTCACATTACCCATGGAGGTCTTAGGCCTACTGGGAACCAGAACCTGGCACCCCCCTCAAAGAGGTGTGGGGAGCAGATGACAGTCCATCACCTCACCGGGGAAGGTATCCAGAGAGCCAGCAAATCAAAACAGAAAACTGTTCGGTTCAGAGGAAAGATTGAAGCCTAATGCCTAATGACCTCCTCCAGCTCTGTAAACAAATGACAGAATCTCTCAAAACTAGCCTCAGCTTGTTTGCCCCACCTCCCCCACCCATTTGGGGAAGGGGAAGGGGCTCATCACCCCTAGGGATATCCATATGCAGATGATGAGTCACAATAATGTGGCTGAAATATGTTGACCAGACCATCACCCCTAGGGATATCCATATGCAGATGATGAGTCACAATAACGTGGCTGAAATATGTTGACCAGACCACACACTAGAAAGTGAAGGGACGACGAAGTTTCAGTCCATCCTGGACCATTCTCAAGTCAATTGTGAAATCGACACAATCTCTCACATTCTCACAATCGACTTGAGAATGGTCCAGGACGGACCAAAACATGGTCATCCCTTCACTTTCTAGTGTGTGGTCTAGTCAACACCCCTAGGGGGTCTGAGTTCTCAGTTCTTATGCTAATGCAGTCCCAGCAAAACTACTACATGGTTCCCTGGTTTTCTCTCTGCTGTGCAGGCTCAAATCCAGTCTACTCTGGATTTTCAGCTGCTTTTGGATCTTTACCCTTTGTGGCATTTCTGAGTACATTATTGCATGATACAAGCCTAGCATTTAATGTACTTAAGGAGCTGTATATGCTCAGGGTGCTCCCTAGCACTGCCCTTGCACTGACAGTTTTCTTCTCTGTCGTCTTCAAGGTGTCACTCCTTCAGAGGTCCTCCTTGCTTGAGGGGTCCTCACCTAGGGTTAGTTGGGGGTCCTGTGATTCACACTGTCTTGGTCTGGGTCAGGAGCAACTTTGGCTGATAGGGTGCACTGGTGGCTCATGTACTTAATGTTTACGGCCCGCTGAGGTCAGCCTTACACATGTCATGTAACCCAGGCTGTGTTGCCTTACTTTTAGGTTTGGCATAGGGTCCCCAGTGCCTGGATATCCGGATTGGATAGGCTTCAGGCTCTGGAAATACCCCCCCAGATTCAGTGTGGCCAATCAGTATACCCCTCTGAGCCTGTTCTCACCTTGTATGAATTTGAGGATTATTCGTTGTCCATACCGCAGGGAGATGATCATTTGTTCTATCTCCACCCTGCTACATGTGGAGTCGATGACACCTATGACCGTGAGTCTTGTGGGGTCTGCACTTCCCATGTGACTCTTCTTAGACCTTTCATAATGCAGTTAGTGCGTATCATGTAGTGACCGCTTTGTGGGTTTGTTTTGCAGAGGTCTTGATTGTGTGCCCACTTGGATGCCCAGGATCTGTCCTGCCTTGTGTTTAGGGATCCAGAATTGGAGGTGTTGCCGATCTCCACTGTGGTTCTGTCCTCATTTCTTGTTCCTTCCCCTTTGGAAGGGGTCTTCTAACTCCTGTCCCTGTATGAGTTTGAGTACAATTCCCCCCCCCTCCCCTCCTGGGTTTGCTGTTGCATCCTATTGGGACTGTCCTTCCAGAGGTTTCTGTCCTCTCAAGTCCCTTCTTTGGTGGTTCATTATCTCTCTATCTCCTGCACGACCTGGCATTTGCCTCTATGATGTACCCTGCTGCTTTTACATCTGGGACCGCTTCTCCTTCTTAGAGATGCTACAAGGTGCCTGTGTCTTCCTGGCTAGCAAACAATCTTTTGTTTTCCTTGGGGGCTTCATGTGTCTTTTGTCTTTCACACATGTTTGAGTGGCTTGAGGTAGCAATTTGTTCCAGATGTTTCTGAGAGGCCTTTCTTTAGGGCCTTTAATTGACTGCCTATTTTCTCCAGCTCTTTTCAAAGACAGATTTGGCCATGGTGTAGCTCTATTCCAATTTATCGTTGGCACTCGTGGCAGAGGACCTTCGCTTCCCCACATGCTTGTTTTCTGTCATGAGGTTCTTGGTCCTCATTGAGCTTCATTCTGATTTGTTCAGCAGGGACATTGAGGCGCTCGGCTTTGGGCCTGGGTGGGTGTTTTGGATTCTGCTGTGGCTTCATCTGCAGTTCTCCCCAAGCTATAAGCACCTGTGCTCCAGGAAGTGTTGACTGTATTCTACACCACCTGCTTTGCATGTTGGCAGGCTGTGCTGACCCATTCCTTGGTTCGGCTTGGGCTCCGATCCTCTTATCCTCCTTCCTCCTTTAACTGGAGGGCAATTGGATAGTGCTAAGGCATTTTCTTCTCTTGGTTGAGGTAGGCTTATGGAAGAGTCCAATCCTGGGTTGTATGTGCCTCCTGTGGCTGGTCCTTCCTCAGCTAGTTGGCGCCATGCTTGCTCTTCTGGGAAGGCTCCCTCTTCTTGTGGTTCGATTGCCTGGTTTGCCAGCTCCTTGTCTCACGATTAGTGGGCTTTTTGGGTTGTTCCCTGACACCTTCCTCTTCCCTCTCTCGATGTCTTCACAGACACCTCAGCTCTAAGCTGGGGCTTAATGACCTGTGCCCACCAGGCCACTCAGGGTCAGTGGTCTCCTCTTTGAGATCGCAGTAGGAGTTTGTGGCCATTAAGCATGAACTGTGGACGATTTAAGTTCCTCAAGAATTCCTGCTCCAGCTCCATTAGGATTGTGCCCCAATTTTCTGAACCTGGAGGGGAGACTCTTTGGTCCATTGCCCTTTGGAGCTGGATGCTGCATGTAGTCTTCTGCTAGGTTCTTTAAATTTGGTTCTCTGTGCACTTCACGTTCATGGAGTATCCAATGCTCTCACAGATGGTCTATCTCATTTCATTCCCATTTCAAAGAGCCTGTCAATGTCACTTCCTACCTTCCTTTGGCTTTGCAAAATGTTTGGGTGCTCCGATGTGAACTTCTTCTCGTTGGTGTGGAATCGGCCGACTTCCTCCTCATATGGCTCCATTCCCTAATGACGAAACTATCACATTGGATGCCTTTTGGCTGGACTGGTTGAGATGGGGCTTGTACATATTTCTTTTCCCTGGTCCAGCCGTTACTCAGCGATAGTTCAGGTTGGAGTCCTACCAGGAAAAGGTGATCCTTCTGGCTCCTTGGTGGCTCGCTCAGCCTTGGTTTCAGGCGCTGCTTGCTCG